TATCTTTATATAATAAATGTACATACACATGTACAATTACGTAATGATCTACGCTTACTTAATTTTGTATAATAATCACAAGCGATTAAATACGGTTGTAATGTTTAACAATGATGCAATATGCATGACAACAACGATGTTATATCGTCGCTCGTCTGAGCGAAAGGGAAAGTCGGAATAAAATTTTTCCAAGTTGCGGATGGCAACTTGGTTTAACACATCCGTGTGCACATGATGTATACATATTTAAAACTGCGACGTGTCGTCGTTGCAGCTGTGCGTGGTTTATGGACGAATCCCACGTGCGTTTGTTTTCTATGCCTGCACGTTCAACACGCCGTTTATTTTTTATATTTTTTTTCCTGACATACTCAGGTACTTTGAAGTATTCTCAGCGCCTGCAGAGTGGAATATAATTTTATGGTCAATAATAAATAGAACTATTTAACATTCATGCGCTAATAATAATTATAAGTGAAGTGTGACTTATATTCTCATCTCTATTTTTAAATGACTTCTTATGCACTTTAAAGTGAATCGTTCCTATTTTTTCCCGAAACTATATTCTATTTACATTATTAATTTATTTAGCTGAGATTTTATCTCTTTTATTGACATATACTCGATACTGATATTTGAATGACTGTAGAAATAAAATCGATAAATCATTTTAAGCTCTATATCAAGAAAATCTCCACTTGAAAGCTCATGATATCCGTATCTTTGTAATATGAAGTATCTAAAAATTTAGCAAGACGTCTGAAAATAAGTATGGACTATCAAAATAAGAATATTGATAATTCTGTAAAAAATTTTGGCTAGCAATCAGCTTAAAAACGCCAGTATATAATTATTTTAATATACAATATAATTTTCAGATTTACATTTCTCAATTTGTATAGACTTCAGCAAAATCATTCTTTCCCCCCAACATTATCGGACGATACGATACTGAATTTTAAATGATCCTCTCGCAAAAGAATAATTTATTGATGTATTTGAATGAATGTTAGCAGAATTATCGATGATTATGCAACCGAGAATTCTTGCCTAGGTGCAGAACACCACGCAGGGACTCGTCTCTGTGGGTGAGAGCGCGGAGGAGGCACGGATGCCCCCGCGGTGACACGCAAATTGCACACGTGTGTACGTCTGGAAGGGGTTTACTTATCAGCATTCGGCGTTGCTTAGCTGGCACTGCCGGCTTCACTTCACCTCTCGACGGTCTTGCTTAGTGCTCGTTTAACTAGCCAGTCGTGCCGCACCTGTCGAATAAAGATTGCCGAATCGTTTTGATTACAACGGATAACTTGTCGCACGGAGATTCGGGAATCACTATTGCATTATCTCTCGCGCGTTTTTCTCGTCCATCTCCTATCTCTTTCTCTTCCTTTTTTCCGTTTTTTTTTTAAACTTTAATAGCAATTCCATTGATTGCCACTATTTATTTCTCGACAATCACTAGCGTTAGTTTCTCTTGTGGATTCTTTGAGTGAAACTTTTTTCGCAATTGATTGGAGGATCGCGAATATCCTGATTGTAATCTATCAACATTTTGGGAATTCATAATGTCATCATATTCTGATAAATACATGAACAGATCACGATAACGCACTGATATCCGGTATCTTGAGCAAACGCGATATCTTATATCGACAACGCCGCGAACAAGGCATGACAAGACCGGTGTTCGTGGATTCGGCTGGTTGATTCATACACAAGATGGTAAGTAACACGGTAGTTTCTCCCACTTTTCGGTGTTTACGTATCTCTAGATTCCGAGGTCGATCGTAGTCAGGTCCCTGACCGCAAATTGTCCCCGCAAATACGCTCAAGGTATCACGTGCAACAGTTTCTCTTTCCTTTTTTTCCGGTAAAATTCCTAGTCATGTTTTGCTCGAGTGACGTAAACAGTGTATCAATTTATAGATCATTTGTGTGATACATAGTTATGCCTACGTAGCTTCATGACAAAATTGATATTTTTAGATTATCTTTATCTGTGATAAATTCCACATTGACGATATTCGTGCTGACACAAAAAATCAGATAGGACATACACATACACACACACACACACACACACACACACACACACACACACATACACACAAAATTACAATTTTTAGTAATTAGTAATTGCAATTTTTTTAAATATTTGCAAAAATATATTTCTACTTTATTTAGAAAAGTATGTATATCTACATATTTAATATACATTCATTCGCAAACATTGGATTATTATATCCATTTGTTTTTTTGCAGGTGAATATCCATATATATATATGTGTGTATGTGTGTGTACAAATATACATAATAATTTATTTTTATTAAATTTTTATTTATTAAAAATTTTTTTTATTAAAATTTATTAGACTCTTAATCATTAGCACAATTAGAACACATAAGTATGTTATCTTGAATAGAATTATCTGATAATTTTCCATATCAACGAACAAATATTCTTTTAATGGTTCATCAGTTAATTAGTCTTATGACAAGAATATATACCAATTAATTTTCAGACATACGCAGTTAAAAAAGAAAACGTTTAAAGCTCATGCAACCATTCGCAATTAATCGCATTTTTTTCTTTCAATTATTCCCTCGCTTTTTCTCTCAGATAAAATATGAGATATTTACAGATTCTAGTAGATCTCGTATCATAATTGATTACGTCCGTTCGCAGACCTCGTTATTAGAGATGCAGCTATGTGCACGCAAGGTCGGATTTGTGCAAACGTTGAATCGAGAAACACAAAGAAGTAGATATTCATGAGATAAATTTTGATTAAGGAGATAAACAATAGCGTCATACAATAATAATTCGAGAAAAGCATGTTAATCCGCCATTCTTGGTATCGTTAGCAATCATTTTGATATTAGAATTATAAATGCTGTTTACGAAATCTCGAGGAAACGATTATCGAACGCACAACAGAAATTCCATCCTACGATCTTGCATTCTCGTTTCTGATAACCAAGTTACTTGAAACTGTCGCTTCATCGCTTTAATTAACGCTTATATGTCAAAATCGAGACGTATGAATTTTATCGCGATGCTAGATAAGTAGAGCATTCTGAGCATCTATAATACAGGATATTTCTGAAATAACGTCTACTAATCTAACGAATACAAACTATTTCTAATAAAAAACTGAATTGAAAAGTCCTGTATCATTTTGCAATTTTCGCAATATTTTTTTTATAATTACTCAATGAGCAAAATGTCTAAAATCGACGTAAGTGTAAGACAACTTTAAAGTATCTTTAAAAAACATTTTCAAAATATTTTACAAAGAACACACTAAAAGATATCTTAAAATTGTCTTATACATCGATTTTATCTGTTTATTCGGCAATGTTTAGAAATTAGATCTCGTTAACCATTGCGAAAATTGCAAAATGATAGACGACTTTTCAATTCACGACTTTTTATTATTAGGAATAGCACTGTATGATTAGTGAGCGTTATTTCAGAAACATCCTATATATATTAGCAAACAATCCTCAGTTCTCATCTAATTCAAATTTAATTTTTTTTTTTTTTTTTTTTACGGAAAAGTGACTGTAAAAGTGTCTCTTCTTTCTAGGAAATCGAGGATTTGACACTATATTTTTACATTGCATGCGGTATCTTCGCCGGTGCGCTTATCTTACTTTTCATTTTGGTGATCGTGCTATTCGTGAAAGTAAATCGATTATCCGAGGACGGGTGAGTAACATAGCCTTTTTGTCAGCTGATAATTGGGGCGCCAATTGAAGGTTTTGGTTGCATAATCTAAAGACATTAAATGTTTACCAAATATTAATTATGCTTATCATCAGTAAATATTGATTAATGTTACTCACATTATATTTCATCGGTGACAGACATATACTTTATTGCGTAAAAGTGCGTAGAAGACAAAAGTGTCGAAGACAACGTGCGTCTCCCCGCTCGCGTAACGCGTTTCAAAATTTCTACGTTGAATCGTACCGTAGCTAAATACATATTACTATCCGATCGCGAATCGTTGGCGACATATTTCACCATATATTGCATGCGAAATATCCGGTTTTGAACTTCAGTTTCGTGAAACGTTTTCATAAACTAAATGTCTCTTTTTTGATAATTAATTCTTCTGCATTTTTGATATTTCCTTTGCATAAATCTAAGTAATTGAAAAATTGAACCATAATTCCGATCATTTATTCACAAAGTGAATAAAAGTTACGCAAATTGAAATGGTAATTAACTATACATTTATGAATCAGTGATTATCCAGTATTATATGCAAGATATTAATATCCATGGTTATTTGATTGCTTCATTTACTTAGCGGTGTGCACCTGCGTGGCGAAAGGAAAGTAGAGAAAAATGCTTGACGTATATCTGCAACGGAAGCAGTTAGACATTTTCATTTTTTTTACCGCAGGAATGAAAATACGTATGTTTCTTTTGTGAGTCACGCAGCCAACGACGAAATGGTTGATAGTATATCTTTATTGCCGTATTATTTCGCTTATCTGATTGTCCAAGAACACAAAACGATAATGACGATTAAAAAAATATCTTAATTAATGAATAATTTCTGGTTTAAATATTTTGCAAATATTTAACATGAAGATGCAATTTATAGTTATAATCTCGATTTGGTTTTATTCTAATCATATACGAGAGTAAATCATATAATATAGTATCACTTGTTACATAGAGAAATATCTTGGTTTCGTCCAGTTTCCTTTTCTTTCATAATTGTTCAAAAATATTTCCGGATCTACTCCTATCATGAAACTTGAAGAAGTTTTTTTGTCCAAGTTTCGTTAATTCCTTTAATCATTCATTATTAATACGAATAATCATGTTTCTTTCATATAATGTCCGAGAGACATTCCTCATTATGATTAATTATCATCATTGTAATTGGCGATCGATTTAAATTCAGCTGTCAATAAGATAATCACTTCTATCAAATCCTTTTCGTTCCTTTCCTGCATTTGTGGTAATGATTCGGTCGCTTGAAAACTGAAAATTGATTTAGGTCCAACCAACTAAACAGACAGACAAATATGATGGCAGACTTCTGTTACACCAATCCCACGATCGTGCCTGGAGAACTGCTCTCTCGTCGTGGCTTTTCCATGTACAGTGGAGCTGACAACTTTGACGATGATTTCGGCAAGACCAAAAACGTTCATTGTGGAACGTATCATGAGGCTCGATCAAAATTCTGATTAAAATTTGAATCTGAAATGATCGTTCTCCAATTATTGATGCGGCTTATACAAGCTGATTAATCTCCAGTTATAAAATCAATTAAGATATTGCGTAATGTAAGATATTGCATAGTAATGTAAAATATTGTAGTTTAAGCTATTAGCTTGATCAAATTATTAATAGTATTATTTGTTCTTTACGTATAATCATTCTCTGTGTAACTTTTTGCGTAATGTACTCGATTTAACGTTTTCTTTAATTTTTCTTACTGACTTTACGCAGATGTTACTTCCCGCAGAATACAAACTAAAGATGACTCTACACGATCAATAATACTGATCAGTAATATTGAATCAATAATACTGACAGTATGCATCAATATTTTTAGTATTTTTACAACCTTACATCATCAGTATTATGGACAATTATATATAGATATATTTCATTTTTTAGTTAGTACATTATCTATTGCACTGTGACGTACTGTAGCATGGATTCTAATAAAATGATACACTTAGAGAAACGTTTTTTCAATTCTAAGAAATGTTTCTTTGCGGTTAAAGAAAAAATTTCTTTGATTTGAACATAATTTTTTTTAAATCAAATAAAAAAAATTCATTTGATTTCAAAAAGTGATGTTTAAACTAAAGAAACGCTTAAATCAAAGAAATTTTTTTTTCATTAATATTACAATAATTTTCCATTCAACGATATAGAGGTGATACAATACGATTAGTTGTACACAACAGTTACATTGTTAAGTAGAAAATTATGTAACATTGATGTAATATTATTATTTGTATTCTGCGGATTGTACATATTGTTTAATATTGAAATTTTTCACGGCTTTTCACTGCAGCGTGAAATACAATGTTCAAAATTGATATAATTCGGTCAATGTTGTAATATATAAATAATAATTGGAAAAATCGAACTGCCATTTTATCGGAGACAATTTTAGTTGCATTAATTTTTCTTTAGACGCGACATCTTTGAATATTCTCAATATTATCAAAGTATGTAAAATTATTCACAAAATATAAAAATTATTATCTTGAAAAACGTATAAAAACAACAAAATGATACATAAATAAGATCATTTGTTTCTTGTTGTAAGATTTATATATTATTATGATTGTTATCGATCTGTTTTATCGGTTTCTCGTCGATAATGCTGAAAATTTATCAGAGAATGTCTAGATGTCTCTGCATGTATTTCACGCCGTAGAGAAAAATATAGACGATGCTCCGAAATGGTCGCACTTGTTTCTATAAGACTGGAAAGAATAGAATTTAATATGCATAATTCCTTATGCATTTAGGAAGCACAATATTTTTCAGTAGACATATAAAGAGTAATAATAATATTAGACTTTGAGACATATACTAGTCGACTCAATACTTTTTTGACAGACTCCATAATTATCTGTGTGGATCTAGCCGACGTATAGATGATGTAATATAATTGAGATAATATACAATACCAAAGATATATACATTTATATATATATA